AAGCGGGCGCGGCGTGGGGGGTCCCAGCCGTGCGCCCTAGGTAGGGTCACCCGCAGGTGGCCGCGCGGGCAAGCCTCGGCCACCGCAGTGGACCCAGCCTGGCGCTGCTGGGGTGCTCGGGGCGGGTACTGTCCCTGTGTTCTCTTGTTCCCGTGTGTCCCAGGATCTCAACCTTTGGGAACTCCGGGAGGTTGAGTGCTGCGGGCGGGGACGGTACGATTGGGTCTTGTCCCTGCTCTGAAGTGGGACGGGACGAGCAGGGCGGAAGCTCCTGCACAAAGAGGACAGCGTTCCGCACATGGATTGAATTATAATTGCCGCAGTGACCCGGCCAGCTGCTCCGCTCCGCTGCTGTTCCAGGGCGCGGGAGGTTCCCGAGCTCCCATGGCCCTGGAGCCCTGTTGTCAGCTCCAGTCAGGAGAGGAAAGAAGGGTCCTGGGATCTGGCAGGGTGTGGGAATGGGTGATCCTCAAGGTGTGTGCAGCTACTCGCCCCCTCTCTAGCCCAAACCTGAGTTCCCAGGGGAGAGGATGGGCAGCGCCCAGATTCCTGCTCTCAACAATGGAGACCACTGTCCTCCAGCCCCAGGACTCCGCCTGCCCTCTGGGACTGAATGACCAGCTGGTGTCCTCGCCGCCACCCTCCAGGGCAAATTTCTATTCACTTGATGACTAAAAAACCAGGCCCAGAGAGGTTGGGTGACTTCATCAAGGTCACCCAGTGCGAGCCACGGTGGGGGAGAACCCAGCTCTGTGCCTCTTCCTTCTCTGGAGTGGGAAAGAGAATGAGAGACCCCCCCCCCCAACCGTTTTGAGACTGTAAGGTGCCTTGTGGAAGTGAGTGGGAAAGTACACTTTCTCCCTCCTCCAGCAAAGTTTAATTCTTGCCCCAAACTCAGATTGCTTTGTGGGGCTGTGTGAAAGAGCGATGCTAAGAAGTGACTCTGAAGTGGCTTTAGACCGAGGGGACTATTCCAAGCAGCCAGCACGTCCCCACCCAGGGATTGTAGCCTACCTAGAGCCGACTCTGGCTGGCTGACTGGCCGGCTTTCAACCTCCTTCCTTCCTCTTGACAGGAAATGACTTTCCTTCCCTTTGTTCCCACTTTCTCCGCTTACCCAACTGGATCTGAGTGTCTGATTTGCCCTCCGGGGGAGGAAGGATGGGGGTGGAGGGTCGGCTGGGAAGTTGTCATACAGCACCTTCCCCCACTCCAGGGTGAACTCTGGGCCAGTGGGACCAGAGGGAAGCGCCAGCAGGCTCTTCTGACAGGGCTTTGAAAATCCCCAGCCCGAGATCCCCAGGGCTGCTTGACAACGACAGGGGCGGGTATGGCTGCCCAGCTGTGAACATCTGGCTTCCATGCTGGGTGCTTTAGAAAAAGCGGGCGAAATGGAGTGGGGGGGGGGCCGAATGGGGGGATAGGGAGGGTTCCTGAAGAGTCACACAGCCTGCCCCAGGGGACCCGCCTAGAATGTGTTGACCGCAAGAAGCTGGTCTGGATTGGGTCATTTGGGGGAAGGGGAGTGGCTTGGGGTGGGGGAGGAGGCTTGTATGGTCCAGGGAAGAAAAAGTCCAGGGATGCCCGTGGACTTCCAGGTTGCGGGAGGGCCAGAGAAACGCACTTGAATTCTTGGTGGGATTCTGTGATAGAGCCTCCCTACAACCGAGGTTTGAGGTCTGAGCTCTTGGATTTATAAATGCCACTGTTAGGGTTTCTCTTCCGATTCTGAAGACGGCTTCCAAAGTAATTTCTATTTATGGGGCCGAGGTTGGGATAGGGTCTAAATCTGTAGCCCCAGAGCTGGACTTGAACTCATGCGAAATCCTCCTGCCTCAGCCTCCTGAGTGCTGAGATTACAAGTTTGTATTATATCATTACTGGCTTCCAAGTATTTTCTTGAAGGGTCTTTCTATGTAGCCCTGGGTGTCATGGAACTCACTATGTAGACCAGGCTGGCCTCATACTCACAGAGATCCAACTGTCTCTACCTCTGAAGTGCTAGGATTAAAAGTGTGCACTATCCTACCTGGTGCCCCCAGAGATATTTTAGGGGCGTTTTTCTCAGTCTTCCCCTGAGAGAGTCCACGGGTACTGATGTACCTTGAGAATCATAGGGAGGCCGGGCGGTGGTGGCGCACACCTTTAATTCCAGCACTCAGGAGACTGAGGCAGGCAGATTTCTGTGAGTTTGAGGCCAGCCTGGTCTACAAGAGCTAGTTCCAGGACAGCTAGGACTGTTACACAAGAAATCCTGTTTCGAAAATGGGGAAAAGAAAGAAAGAAAGAAAGAAAGAAAGTAAGCAAGCAAGCAAGCAAGCAAAGAGAATCATAGAGAAACTTGTGAGTGACCGTGTGGGATCCACGTCTGCCCTCAGGGTCTCTTGGGGCTGTCACCCCCTCACACAGCTCCACTGCTTGAGACTAACCAAATTCCTCTCCAAGCGCCTGTGACCGGGCTTCGGTCCTATCATGGTGGCCAACACAGAAAGAAGAAGGGAGATAAAGGACACATTTTTATCCATGGGAACTATGGTTGGGTGCCAGGGAGGACTTCTGTGGCCAGTTCACCCACAGTGACCCATCTAGACCTTGGCCCCAGAGACTGCTGTCTTCAGGAACTGCCTGGCCCTAACAAAATGAAGGGGCCTCTTCTGCCGGGGTCTGTGCTTCCACACCCACTCTGTGAACTTCTTTCTGGCTCTTGGTACAGACAGCCAAAGGCAGGCAAGGTTACCTGAGGGGATCAGACACTTGGATAATGAGCTAGCTGTCCTTCTCACCCCGGGGAAGCCACAGATCACCCCAGGGTGGGAGTCAAGGAGGCTTTCGTGGAAGAGGAGTTGAAGTTTGACCTAGGTCTCAAAGAGCTGAAATTAACTCTGTAGAAACAGGGAAAAGCTGACTGGGTCCTCCAACAGAGAAAGACAGTCTTGGGGCAGAAAAGACTAAGGTGTTTAAAAATAACTTGAGGGGCCAGGCACAGCAGTACACGCCTTTAATCTCAGGGAGGCAGAGGCAGATAGATCTCTGAGTTTGAGGCCAGCCTGGTTTACAAAGAGAGTTCCAGGACAGCCAGGCCTACATGGAGAAATCCTGTCTTGAAAAACCAAAAATAGCCGGGCATGGTGGTGCACGCCTTTAATCCCAGCACTTGGGCGTCAGAGACAGGAGAATCTCTGTGAGTTTGAGACCAGCCTGGTCTACAGAGCGAGTTCTAGGAAAGCCAGGGCTACACACACAGAGAAACCCTGCCTTGAACAACTTTTAAAGAGAAGAGAAGCACTCTGGAGGCAGAGGCCGGCGGATCTCTGTGAGTTCGAGGCCAGCCTGGTCTACAGGAGCCAGTTCCAGGACAGGCTCCAAAAGCTACAGAGAAACCCTGTCTCGAACCCCTCCCCCCCAAAAAAAAAGAGAGAGAGAAGAGAAAGAATCAGATTTATGCTTAGGGAAGATAATTAGGGACGAGAGAGCGAGAACGCGCGCCAGCGCCTGGTTGGTTCTGAAGCCAGGGCATGGTTTTAGAGATGGCTCAGAGTCAAAATTCTACCCTGAGGCAGTATCAAGGATGTGTTAATTTGGGTCTGAGTGGAGAGGGCAGAAGAGACCTGAGTAGCCAAATGTGTGGCTCTGGGCTGAAATGCCAACTCTGGTGCTGTGTGACCCGGGACAAGAGACTTGCCGTCTCTGAGTCTTCGTTTTCTCACCCATTGGTGAGATTGGGTGATAACAAGGTTGCTGGGGGCTCAGGGTAGCATGGGAACAGAGCGGGTCCTGTCTTTTATTCACTCGTCACTCTTCTATTTCTGTTTCCTTCCAGTGGAGCTGGCCTGAACCTTGGACCTTGTCTTCCAACAGACTCGGTATCTCAGGTGAGGGAGGAGCTGGCTGTTGGCAGGTAGCAGAGCCCGCATCTGTCAGCTGCCTGGGTTGGGCTCTGGAAAAAGTGGCCCGGGAAGGTGATCTCTGTCTTGCTGCGTGGCTGTCCATAGGCCACTGGGAGGGACCTGCAGGGTTTGTAGGCCCCATGTTGGTGGCCACCTGGCCTTTCTGAAGGCTGCCCCCTGCCCCTCCCATCTTCCTCCCTTCTCACTGCCTGACCCAGACTGGCCTAGAACTCACCGTTCTCCTGCCTCAATGCCGTCTCCAATGGAGTTGGGTGTACCGGTGGGTTCTGTACGGAGAGAAAGGAGCCTCTGGGCCGGTGGAATACCCTGTCAACCTCAACCCCTGTGCCTCCATCTCCGGCAGGAGGTGCTGATCATGGCCTCCAAGACCGAGAAGAGAGTGGCCTCTTCTGTTTTTATCACCCTGGCACCCCCACGCCGTGACGTGGCTGTGACTGAGGAAGTGGGCCAGGCAGTTTGTGAAGCCCGACACGCTCGGCCCTGGGAGACCCTCGCTCCCGTGAAGACCCCTGGGACTGGCTTGAGCAGGAACCCCAACACCTGGACACCCTCTGGCAGGGCCACTGCCTCGCTCCCCGCAGCCCCACCCCAGCTCTCCAATGGAGGTAAGAGTGGCCCGAAGGGGACCAGGACAGAGACAGAAACCAGGCAGGGAGGAAAGAACAGGCTCCGGGTTACTCATTCATTCAGGTGTCTACTGTGTACCAGGCCTACTATGGAACCCACCTGCCTACACCCGAGTCCTGGCTCCTCTGAGCTCTGTGATGTTGCAGGTCACTTAACCTCTCTGTGCCTCAATGTCAAAAACTTCAAAGTATAGTTGTGAGGATTAAGAGCATTAATGCAGGATCAGCAAGATGGCTCAACAGGTAAACATGCTCACTGGACAAGCCTAAGAACCGAGTTCAATCCCCAGAACCTACGCAAAGGTGGAAACACAGGTCAGCTCCTGCAAGTTGTCATCTGACCTCCACAGGTGCACACACATACATGGATACACAAGAACACTAAGTAATGTAATAATTGAAAAATACATGTCGAGCCGGGCGGTGGTGGCACAAGTTAATCTTTAATCCCAGCACTTGGAAGGCAGAGGTAGAAGGATCTCTGAGTTTGAGGTCAGCCTGGTCTACAAAGCGCGTTCCAGGGCAGCCAGGACTCACAGAGGTACCCTGTCTGGAAAAACTGGAAAAAAAAAAAAAAAAAGGAAGGAAAGAAAGAAGAGCGAACAATGCGTATCAAATGTCAAAAGAGCGAGCCTTACAGTGGAGCCCCGTGCCACCCAGAAGGGGTAGCTCTTTCTGTGGCTGCTCTGAGGGGGTTCTCTGAGGCCTCTACCAGACGGGGGAAGTGGAAACAGTTATGGAGGCCCTGAGACGAAATGAGCTAGGAGGGTTTGAAAGATGTTCTCATTCTGTTCTTGGAAATCACGGCTTACCTATTGTGCGATTTCTTTCTTTTTTTAATTTTTTTTAATTATGTATTCTGCCGACATGCATACCTACATCCCAGAGGAGGGCACCAGATCTCATTACAGATGGTTGTGAACCACCATGTGGTTGCTGGGAATTGAACTCAGAACCTCTAGAAGAGCAGCCAGTGCTCTTAACCGCTGAGCCATCTCTCCAGCCCCCACCCCCACCAATTTCTTTCTTTCTGTGTGCTGGAGTGCATGCGTGTGAGTGCGTGTGTGCGTGTGAGTGAGTGTGAATGTGTGTGCGCGCGTGAGCGCACACGCATGTGTATGAAGACATCAGTGGACAGCTTGTGGGTGGTGGTCTCTCCTTTCAGTCCCTGTATGGATCCTGGGGATTGAACTCAGGTCATCAGGCTTGGTAGTAAGTGTCTTTCCCCACTGGGTCATTTCACTAGCCCTATGATTGACTTTTAATTACGTGTGTATGTGTGTGTCGTGTGTCTGCGTGTGTTTATGTGTGTGATATATGGAGGAGAGAGACAACCCAAGAGAGCTTCCACCCCGTGGGTCTCTGGAATCGAACTCAAGCCGTCAGCCTTGGTGTTAAGTTCCTTTCTCGGGTGAGCTACTTAGGCCTCTCCAAACCGTGTACTGCTTTTTTTTTTTAAGATTTTATTTATTTATTATGTATACAGTGCTCTGTCTGTATGCTTACTGGCCAGAAGAGGGCACCAGATCTCATTACAGATGGTTGTGAGCCACCATGTGGTTGCTGGGAATTGAACTCAGGGCCTCTGGAAGAGCAGCCAGTGCTCTTAACCTCTGAGCCATCTCTCCAGCCCCCATGTACTGCTCTTATAGAGGATCCGAGTTCTTGCTGATCTTCCTCAGCTCATCCTCACAGAAGTGAGGCATAGCTAGGAGAGAATCCAGCCTTCGATGCCTCCGAGAGAGCTGGATTCTGACTTGCAAGCTTGCATAGAGTTTGGTTCCCAGACTCCCATAGCTGGTCAGCCACGCCAGTGCCACCTCTGGGCTTTTTCCAACACAGTTGGGGCCAACTCAGAGGTGGGATTGAGGTTTTAATTTTCCTTTTGCTGCTTTTCTGGGCACTTAATACATTTCGTGGTGAATCTTTTCATTCATTCATTCATTTACTTTGGTTTTTTGGGATGGGGTTTCTCTGTGTAACAGCCCTGGCTGTCCTGGAACTCACTCTGTAGACCCAGCTAGCCTCGGATTCACAGAGATTTGCCTGCCTCTGCCTCACGAGTGCTGGGATTAAAGACGTGCGCCATCACCACCTTTAATTTTCTTTTGTTTCTGTACTTACTCTCACTTTTGTTTTAGTCTATGTGTGTGCATCAGCGCAGGTGGTCATGGAGGTCAGCGGTCAGAGGTATTGGATCCCTCTGGAGCTGGAGTTACAGGGGGTTGTGAGCCTCATCATGTGGGTATTGGGAAACCAAGCTTAGGTCCTCTGCAATAGCCGTGCTCACTCTTAACCACAGAGCCATCTCTCCAGCACTCATTAAAAATAACAGACATTTACTTAATTGTTTTTAAATTTATACATTTTATGTACATGGTTGTGTTTGCCTGAATGTTTGCTGTGCCCTGGAATTGGAGTTACAGACAGGTGTGAGCCACCACGTGAGTGCTGGAAACCAAACCGCAGTCCTCTGGAAGAGGAGCCAGTGCACTTAACCTCTAAGCCAGCCCACCAGCCTCAGATTTATTTCATTTTTACGTATGCATGCATCTGCGTGTGGGTTTTATCTGTGTGTGCGTTTGTGCACATGTGAGTGCAGTACTTTCAGAGGCCAGAAGAGGGCGCAGGATCCCCTGGAGCTGGAGCTACAGGTTGTTGTGAGCTGCCTGATATAGTGCTGGGTCTTTAACTCAGATCCTCTATAAGAGCAGTATATGGTGCTGGGCAGTGGTGGCGCACGCCTTTAATCCCAGCACTCAGGAGGCAGAGGCAGGCAGATCTCTGTGATTTCTAGGCCAGCCTGGTCTACAAGAGCTAGTTCCAGGACAAGCTCCAAAGCTACATAGAAACTGTGTCTCGAAAAGAGAGAGAGAGAGAGAGAGAGAGAGAGAGAGAGAGAGAGAGAGAGAGCAGTACATGGCTTAACTGCTGAGCTACCTCTCTAGCCCCCATTATTTTTTTTTATCAATTTTAAATTACATTTATTTATTGTATGTGTGCCATGGCATTTGTATGTGAACTCGAAGAACAACTGTAGGAGTCCGTTCTCTTTTTCCACCTTGTAGGCCCTGAGAATGGAACCCAGATCCTCAGACTGGGCAGCAAGCACCTTTGCCCCCTGATCAATGGCCATGTCCCAGAAAACACACTCCCATTGACCCATAGTAATTGTTCGTGTTTGTGGGATGCTGTAGTGTGTGTTACAGTCTGTAGGCAGCATGTAATCATCAGGTTAGAGTAACCCGCATATCCACTGCCTCGAATGCTTATTTCTTGGTGGTGGGAACGCTCAGAATCCTGTTAGCTATTTTGAAATCTATGACGGACTGTCGCCAAGTGCAGCAGGAGTGCTTCTCCTTCTGGGTGTGGTGGCACAGGCCTGAAATCCCAGCTCTCGGGTGGCTGAGGAAGGTTTGGGAGCTAGAAGCTGGGTGTCATGATGAGAATTAGTCAGAAAAGGGGGAGAAGAGAGGAGAGCCGAGCTTTCTTTCCACCCAACTGCACCCCGAACCTTTGATGAATGACTGCAGGACACTTGTTCTGATCCGGGAGGTGAGACTCCCGGCCCACAACAGTGATCGAAGTCTGGCCCTAGACCAGCAGTGGGGAAATTACCAGAAGCAGCAAGTGTAGCCCAGCCCCTAGGCATCTGTGTTTAAACAACCACTCTCACCCCCACCCGCGACCCCACCTTACCCCCACCCCCACGATTCTGCCATTCTGCTGCTCCCTCGGGGCCCATCTGGAACACAAATCTATTTAGCCCTTCCTCTCCAGATCCAGTTTTAATTGATCATCAAGGTTTAATCTAGTCCTTCCTTTCTTTCCTGATCCTTCTGCCTCCTTCACCCAAATACTGGGGTTATAGGCAAGAGCCATGTAGCCCAAATCGACTTCTCCTGCCTCAGCTTTCAAGAGTAGTACCGCCATGCCTGGCTTTCTTCTTTTTTCCTTTACCCCCACCCCTCACCGCCACCCGACAACAAGGTTTCTTGGTGTAGACTCTGTAGACTAGTCTGGCCTCAAACTCATGGAGATCCTCCTGTCTCTGACTCTGAGTGCTGGGATTAAAGGTATGCATCACCACCTGGCGTTGCTCACTTTCCAGGGGAACAATTTAAGACTCAAAGAGTTGACACCCATGCCAAAGGACCCATAGCAAGACAGAGACTGTAGTCCAGGGTGAAACAAGACCTGGAGCCAGAACCCAGCCTTTACACGCTGCCGCTTGGCCTTCTGGGTGAGGAGCCCTGTGCCCTGCCGGAATCTGGGCAACCCTTCTCTTCTTCCACTGTAGGATGCCCTCCCCCGCCTCCTTCCCTGAATGATGAGGACATAGACTTCTTCCCGCCTCCCCCACCGCCCCCTTCGGCCTACCTGCCTCTCCCAGAAGATGAGCCTTCTGCCCTGACTGGGACATCGCTCATTTCTGACTTGGAGCAACTACACCTGCCCCCGCCCCCACCTCTGCCTCTAACACAGGTACTGCAAGTATCCTCAAGCTTTGGCTTCTGGTCGTGGGAGGGGACCTGGCCTTCCCAGCATTATCAAGGTGGGCATGATTTGGTCCCTTCTGTTTGAAGGCAGTTGGTCTTCAAAGCTCTTCCAGGCCCCAAAGCTGGTAGAAACTGGGGTTTCTCAAGGTCCCAGGACATGTCCCTTGCCCTCTTAGTTCCTTAATTACCCACTCTGCCCGCAGCGGGAGAAAGTCACTTTGGAGGAGAGAGCTCCAGGCAGGGAGCAGGGAAGTCCTAGCTCTTGCTGCCATAGCAACCCTCCTACTAAGCTATAGAGGCAGGACTCTTGCATCTCCAGCCTCGGTTTCCTCATCTGTACAATGTAACCAATTGTTCTTGGAGCCACCCAGACAAAAAACCAAGCTGGGAGGTTCTGGTGGGGTCCCTACCAGCTGACCTCTCTTCTGTCTCTTCATTCTGTGTCCCCACAGGCTCTCCCAAAGGAATCTTCTGTCCGGCCTCGGCCCAGTGACCTCAGGCCCTCAAAAGAGGAGCTACCCCCTCCTCCAGAAGAACCTGTCACCCTTCCAGAGAGAGAGGCCTCCACAGGTACAGCCATAGGCCTGGTCTCTAGGTCCCCTGGGGCCACAATGGGAAGTGGGGGAGCAGGGTCCCCTGTTCATGTGACAGAGACTGTCCATAAAGTGTGCAGCCACTGAATGTCCGTAGCTGCCATGTGCTTGCTTCTGGTTTGTTGTTGGTTTTGAGATAGGAGCTCATGTAGTCCAGGCTAGCCTTGAATGATATGTAGCCAAGGATGCCCTTCTCATGTTCCATCTGCCTTACCTCTTGAGGGCTAGTGTTACAGAGGGTTACAGTGTGCCACTGTGCAGGTAGAAGCCAGTGCTTCACCCCTGAAGATCACAGTCTGTGCCACCCCAGATACATCCCTAACCTTTGCTTGTGTTGAGGCAAGGTCTCTTTCTAGCCAAATCTGGCCTTGGGTTTGAGATCCTCCTGCCTCAGCCTCCTGAATGTCAAGATTACATGTTTGGCCCTTTAAAAATTCCTTTTCTCTCTGTTTTCTTTTTTTGAGATGGGACCTCACTCTATAGCTGGCACTAGTTGGCTTGGAACTCACTGTGAAGTAGGTCGGTTGGCTTCAAAGTTGTGGCAATCCTCCTGCCTCAGCCCCAGTGCTAGGATTACAGAGCTACTGTGCCCAGCTTTCTTTTTCTTTTTTAATTCTTTTTTCATTGTGGGGGATGGGTAGCAATGAAAAAAGATGGCTTGTCTCCAAGACTGATGGCTTCACGTCGATCCCTGGGGCTCACGTGGTGAAACAGACTCTCAGAGGTTGTTCCCTGTGATCTCCACACAAGATACACACACACACACACACACACAATTAATAAAAATTAAGGGTTTTTTTTTTTTTTAGTTTTTTTTTTTCACTAGAAGTGTAAGATTGGGCCTGGAGAGATGGCTCAGCAGTTAAGAGCATTGGCTGCTCTTCTAAATGACCGGGGTTCAATTCCCAGCACCCACATGGCAGCTCATGACTGTCTGTACCTCCAGTTCTAGGAGATCTGATTTCCTCTTCTGGCACCAGACATGCATGTCATACACAGATATACATGCAGGCAAATACATATAAAGTAATAAAACATATTTTAGAAATAAAAAGAAGTTTAAGGTCATCCTCAGCTACAGAGTAAGTTGGGGGCTACCCTGAGCTACGGGAGACATTGTGTGAAAAAACAAAAACAAAAAACTCCCACAAAGTCAACCAGGCATGGTGGTACACACCTTTAATCCCAGCACTTATGAAGCCAAGACTGGAGGATGTCTGAGGTTGAGGCCAGCCTTGTCTATATAGCAAGTTCCATGCCAGGTGGAGGTGTACAGTGAGATTTTGTTTCTCCATTACCTCCCACCCCCCAAACACGCACGCACGCACGCACACACACACTCACACCTACACCCACAAGTCTCTAATTTTGCCTGCTGAGCTTTGGGCCTGGGGATCCCGTCTGCAGCAGCTCCGGGACTGCTCTCATTGCTGGGTTCCCGGTGTGTCTCTGAGCAGGTTTCCCATCAGGCTGTGCAGCAGCAGCTCCTTACCCTTCTGTTAAGGCTGAACCTAGGTGTGGTGGGTTACACAGCTGCCTCCTGGTGGATTTGTAGGTGGTTTCTTGCCCTAACTGTACCGAGCTGACTCACCTAACTGGCTCACCCCACCGCGTGAGGTAAATTCTGAGGTAAATTTCTGGGGTAAATTCCTAGAAGAGGAAGTACTGTGTAAAAAAGTCCTTTTTTTTCCCCGAGTCTTGAGTTTTTTTGTCAAATCACCTGCCTTAGTCATCCAGCCTATGTGTGCCTCCAGCAGGGCTGAGTTGTTTTCTAACCGCCTCTCCCGCCTCTCTGCCTCTCCGCCTTTCCCGCACTGTGGCGCTGTGTTTAATTGAGCTGTGACCTGCTTACTCAGGTCCTGCCCCAGGCACTGAAGACACAGCTTCATCTAATGCCCCATCCTCTTTCCTAGGTCACACAGCAAGACACAGGGGCAAATGTTTTTCTCAGTTTGTCAATTATCTTGTGACTTATGGTAGATTTTGTCACAAATAAGTTTTTTTTTTTTTTTTTTAAAGTACAGTCTTACAGTATAGCCCAGGCTATCCGGGAACTCTGTCCACCTTTGTCAGCCTTCAGAGTGCTGGATTACAGGTGCAAACCCAACACCCAACGTCAGAATCCCTTAGTATTTTTTTTTTCCTTAAGATTTATTTTAGCCAGGCCAGCACTCAAGAGGAAGGGGTAGGATCTTTGAGTTTGAGATCACCCTCAATGTGTCCTTATTGTTATCATTGGCTTTACTAGACAGGTTTTCTCTGTGTAGCCCTGGCTTTCCTGGAACTTGCTCTGTTGACCAGACTGGCCTCAAACATAGATTTTCCTGCCCCTGCCTCCCAAGTACTGGAATGTGCGCCATGAAGTCCAGCGGTTTTTATTATTTCTAATTACACAGTTGAGTGTGTTTCTGGGAGTGGGTTTGTACTCATGGGTGCATTACCCTCGAAGTCCAGGAGGGGGCAGTGGATCTCTGGAGTTACAGGCAGTTGTGAGCTGACTGATGGGAGTGGGGGGACTGAACTCAGGTCCTCTGTAAAGCAGTGTGTGTTCTTAATTGACGAGCCATCTCATGTCCTCTCTCAGAATTTTTGGGACTTTCGTTTTTACATATAGACCTTGGATCGGGATCATCTGGTGTTGGCGTCACCAAGACCCCCTCCACTCTCTAGGAGATGAGAAGCTATATGCCACTGTGGCTTTGTTTGTCTGTTTTTTTGTCTTGCCATGTGGCCCAGGCTGGGCTGGAATTAAAGATCTCTGTAAGTTCGAGGCCAGCCTGATCTATATAGTGAGTTTCAGGACAACCAGGGCTACATAGTGAGACTCTGTCCTGAAGACAGCAACAACAAAAAAGATGTGTGCATCATGGTTCCCAACCCAATACTGTGTCAAGCGCTGTTCACCGTCCTTCCTGGTGCTTATCGTGACTTTCTATATTTATCAGTTGAGGAGGGCTTTGAGGCTGGGCCCTGGGCACACTGGGCATTATATTCTGGCCGGTGATTGGGTATTGCCCTCCTGGGCTGGTGACTGCCTGTGTTTTTCCTCCCTCAGATGTCTGCGGCTTCTGTCACAAGCCTGTGTCCCCTCGAGAGCTGGCTGTCGAGGCCATGAAGAGGCAGTACCATGCCGAGTGCTTCACCTGCCGCACTTGCCGCCGCCAGCTCGCTGGGCAGAGATTCTATCAGAAGGACGGGCGCCCCCTGTGCGAGTCCTGCTACGAGGTATGCCCCTGCAGGCAGCTCCCAGGTCAGGTTCCACACGCGGACCTCGGCCGCCATTATTTTTTTTCTTCTGAATTCCTAAATGGGCACTATGGACCCAGCTGAGAGTCAGAATGGAGAAAACTGGCCGGAGGATCCTTGTGTCCGCTTCCCAGAAACGAAAAAAAGATTTATTTGGTTGAGAGATTCCAGCTCGTAGCAAGATGACCTTGCCAATTTGAGCCTGTGGTGAGGCAGTGCACCATGGCAGGAGACTCTAGCAGTTTGAACTGACTCCCCGCATGGCCAGCAAACAAGAGGAAGGGACTAAGCCACATCCCCAGTAACACAGACTTTTTTAGGCCCCTCCTCCTAAAGACCGCCTGCTCCCAACAGCGCCCCCTGGAGCCCAGGCCTGGTAGATTCATGCAGAGCATTCAATATGCAAGTGAAGTACGGTTTGGTGGCTTCAAGCAGTCACATTTCTCCCTTATAGTTATCAGGGTCATTAGATCCAAATGAGGGTGCCTCCTCCTCTCGCTCTGCAGGCTCTGGGGGAGGAGGCATTTTCTTGCCTTTTCCAGGTTCTTTTCAGCGTTTTGTCTGTTTTTTCAAGACAGGGTGTCTCTGTGTAATAACCCAACTGTCCTGGAACTCTCAAGTCCCAGACCAGGCTGGATTCAAACTCACAGAGATCCACCTGTCTCTGCCTCCCAAGAGCTGGGATTAAAGACGTGTGCCCCCCTCCCTGGCATCTTTGGGGGGGGGGGGGTTGAGAATACAACATAGGGTGATCTTGAGCTCCTGACCCTTCTTCCTCCACTTCTGAGTAATAAGCCAGCTATGGTGGTGTCCACGTGTTCCCAGCATTCAGGAACCTGAGGCAGGAGGATGAAGAGTTCAAGGAGCCTGAGCTACAAAGCGAGACCGAGTCTCAAAATAATAATAATAATAATAATAATAATAATAATAATAATTAAAGAATTTAGATACCAATAATCAATAGTTGTGTTGATCACTTAAGAATTTGTTAACTCACCCCCCAAGGAAAAAAAAGAGAGAGACAGCTGGGCATAGTGTCACATGCCTTTAATCCCAGTACTTGGGAGGCAGAGGTCAGTGGGTCTCTGTTAGTTCAAGGCCAGCCTGGTCTACAAAGAAAGTTCCAGGACAGCCAGAGCTACATAGTGAAACCCTGTCTCAGAAAAAAAAAAAACAAACAACAAAAAAAAAAACACCAAAAAACCCCCAAACAAACAAAAAGAATTTGTTAAGGAGGCTGAGTATGAAGCAAACACCTGCAATCTAAATACTTGGGTGCAGGGAGCTGGAGAGATGGCTCAGATGTTAAGAGCATTGCCTATTCTTTCAAAGGTCCTGAGTTCAATTCCCAGCAACCATATGGTGGCTCACAACCATCTGCAATGGGGTCTGGTGCCCCCTTCTGGCCTGCAGGCATACAGACAGAATATTGTATACATAATAAATAAATAATTTAAAATAAATACATACATGCATACATACATACATACATGCATACATACTTGGGTGGAGGCCAGAGGTTCAAGAGTTCCAGGTCATCCTTAGCTACATAGTGAGTTTTTAGTCCAACCTGGATGACATGACATCCTGCCTCAAAAGTAACCAAGAAAAGGGGTAAGAGCCTTTTGAAAAATTGTTAAGGTAGTTCTCAGACTGAGCGTGTGGTTCGGTGGCAGTGTGCTTATCTGGCACACACAAGGCCCCAGATTCAATCCCAAGTATTGAAAGAAGAAAGGGAAAGAAGGCGGGAGAGATGGAGACAAGCAGGGGGCTAGAGACCCCTCCTGTCTGCGGGTAGGTGTGTTTGTGGGGGCTAGAGACCCCTCCTGTCTGCGGGTAGGTGTGTTTGTGGGGGCTAGAGACCCCTCCCGTCTCAGAGTAGGCGTGTTTGTGGGGGCTAGAGACCCCTCCTGTCTGCGGGTAGGTGTGTTTGTGGGGGCTAGAGACCCTTCCCGTCTCAGGGTAGGCATGTTTGTGGGGGCTAGAGACCCCTCCCGTCTCAGGGTAGGCGTGTTTGTGGGGGCTAGAGACCCCTCCTGCCTCTGGGTAGCGTGTTCGTGGGTTGGCTCAGACAGTGGCTCTCTGACCCAGGACACTCTGGAGAAGTGCGGCAAGTGTGGAGAGGTGGTCCGAGACAACGTCATCCGCGCCATGGACAAGGCCTTCCACCCACCCTGCTTCACCTGTGTTACCTGTGCCCGGTGCATCGGGGATGAGAGATTCGCATTGGACAACCAGAACCAGGTGTACTGCGTGACTGACTTCTACAGGTGGGAGAGGAGACTGGGGCTGGGGCGGTGGGGAAGACCAGGCAGGGCTGGGGGTCAGGCCAGTACTTGTACAGCTTCCGTCCGAGAGAAGCCATCTTCCTGTTAGGTTCCCCATATGGTCCCTGGGGTATCTCCTGGAGGCCTCTGAGTCCCTGCGCTCTGTCAGGTTCATCGTCTGAGGTACTCCATGCAATCCTCACACTTTTTATGGCCAGGGAGTACAGCGGAAGAGTCCATTTTAGCAGAAGTAGAAACCGAGGCACACAGTAACCAAGGGGCAATGAGGCTTCCGTTTAAGGACTTGAGTTGGGAACTGGAGGTGGGACTCAGTTGGCAGAGTCCCTGCCTCGCCTGCACAAAGCTGGTGGCGGGGAGGTTGGATTCCTAGCACCACGTAAACACACCGTGGTGACACACACCTGGAATCCCAGCACTCCAGACTAGAAGCAAGACGGTCAGAAGCTTAAGGTCATCCTTGGCTATCCTAGCAAGTTCAAGGCTAGCCTGGCCTATATGACACCCTGTCTTAAGAAAATGAAAAGGAGGGCTGGAGAGATGGCTCAGTGGTTAAGAGCACTGACTGCTTTTCCAGAGGTCCTGAGTTCAATTCCCAGCAACCACATGGTGGCTCACAACCATCATCTGTAATGAGATCTGGTGCCCTCTTCTGGCTTGCAGGCATATATGCAGGCAGAGTACTATATACACAATAAATAAATATTTTTAAAAAGAAAAGAAACTGGGGCTGGAGAGATGGCTCAGCGGTTAAGAGCACAGCCTGCTCTTCCAAAGGTCTTGAGTTCAATTCCCAGCAACCACATGGTGGCTCACAACCATCTGTAATGAGGTCTGGTGCCCTCTTCTGGCATTCAGGCATACACACAGACAGAATATTGTATACATAATAAATAAATAAATAAATGTTTAAAAAAAAAGAAAAGAAACTGAAAAGGATTTGACTTGGGAACCTAGGCTATGCCCCCTCCCCTGGGAACTGGGGGGAGGGACTGAGGATACAGATGTAAAGGAGATTCGTGCTTTGTCCCCCTATTTGAAAAGGAAGAGATGGGGCATGGTGGTTCGTGCCTGTGAAGACGGAGGCAGGAGGACTGGTGCTGCCTGTCTGAGGTCAGCCTGGAGTGTAGAGTAAGACCCTGTCTCACAAGAAAAGCAAAGGGCAGCACTCAGAAGGCAGAGGCAGGCAGGCAGATCTCTGTGAATTCTAGGCCAGCCTGGTCTACATAGCAAGTTCCAGGTCAGCCAGGGCTACCTAGTGAGACCCTGTCTCAAAAAATAAGTAAACAGCCGGGCGGTGGTGGCTCTCTCCTTTAGTCCCAGCACTTGGGAGGCAGAGGCAGGCGGATCTCTGTGAGTTCGAGGCTAGCCTGGTCTACAGAGCGAGTTCCAGGACAGGCGACAAAGCGACACAGAGAAACCCTGTCTTGAAAAAACCAAAATAAATAAGTAAAAAATAGACAAATAAGGCTGATGAGGGACTCGGTGGATTAAAGGAGCTGCTGCCAAGCCTGATGACCTGAGTTTAATCCCTGAGACCAAAGGGCAGAAGGAGAGAGCTGACTGCTGCTTTTTGTCCTTGGACCTCCAAATACAACTGAAATAGTATGCTAAAAAAAATTTAAATTAAGCAAAGTACAAGAAAATGGATGGCCAGGTCCACCAACCCCCTCCTCAGTCCTGATACTTCCCAGTCAGTCACTGGTCTCGACTAATTATACTGTAGGAAGCTGGAGTCATTACACTGGTCCTCCTCCTGCCTCCGCCAGGAAAGGCGGACATCTGTGACTGTCCCTGCAGATTCTGTCACCTAGCAACCCTGGGTGGGAGGTGGAGGCTCTGGGAGGTAAACTGCAGCCACCCCCTTTCTGCCAGCTGATGTTGTTGTCCGTGTGAGTAGCTGACATTCCTGGCATGTGCTTCCCCCTCCCTCTAGGAAATTTGCCCCCGTGTGCAGCGCCTGTGAGAATCCCATCATCCCTAGCGACGGGAAGGATGCCTACAAAATTGAGTGCATGGGTAGGAACTTCCACGAAAACTGTTACCGTTGTGAGGTGAGTGGAGCTGAGGTGCTGTAAAGTGCTGTGGCCAGGGGCACCCTTCCCTTGCTCACTGCCCTCAGCAGAGGCCAGGAAGAGTGGATATGAACAGGGGAGGCTCCATCAGAGTTCAGTGTGAGCTCGCATCACTTTCTGTGGCGAGACTGTGTCAGCTCATGGAGGTGACAGCGTCAGTAGCCATCACTGCCTCCTGATCCCGCCTTTACTTTCTTTTCTGAGGGCTGGCACAGCGCGTGGGCACACATAGCTCAGGTTTGTATCATTAGAAGCCCCAAGAGAATGAGAGTGGACCCGTTGTGGGAGGGGCATACGGTCCCAAGAAGGTTCCTGCTTGGCCTGGCATGGGTCACTGTCTGTTGCTATGATAAATGCCATCATCGAAAGCAAATTGGTTGAGAAAAAGATTTATTATTATTTATTGTACGGGTTACAATCCATCGATAAGGGAAACCAAGGCCGGAGCCTTGAGTAGAAACCATGGAAGAATGCTGCTTACTGGCCCGAACCCTCTCTCTCTCTGGCATCTGTTCAGATAGATTTCTTAGACAGCCCAGGACACACACACACACACACACACACACACACGCACGCACGCACCGCCTCAGGAAGGTACTGCCTGCAGCGAGCTGGGCTCCCCTACATCCACTAGCAATCAAGAGAATGCCCCAGAGACATGCCACAGGCCAGTCTGCTCTGGGCAGTCCCCCAACTGAGACTCTTGCTGATAACGCTGCGCCATGTCAGATAGACAGCTGACAGTAACATCCCAGCCTGGGAGCTGATGAGCTAGGACCGACAGCCCCTAGAACCAGAAGACGGAATCCATGAAACAGGTCCGTCTGTCCAGGCCTGTCCTGTCTCCCTACCTCGCCCCACCCTGACAGGGTCTCACTGTGTAGCCATGGCTACCCCAGAACTCATTACAAAGACCAGACTGGCCTCAAACTCAGAGCTCCACCTGCCTCTGCCTCTCAGTTGCTGGGATTTAAGGCGTGCGCCACCACCACCTGGTCCATCTTGAAGTTCTTAATCTTGGGGCTGTATTCTTTCCTTCTGCCTGGACCCTGCAGGCGTTGAACTTGGTCCAGCAATGGGGCTCCAAGACTGCCCACCCCCTGACTCCACTGCCGTCCCTGTAGCTCTGAGCCCTCTGCCCTCTGGGGATGACCATGACATGTGGCAGTTTTTAGGCGTCACTTCCTGGAGCGTCCCAGAGCAGGATCTCTCAATCAGCCAATGCGTCATTTCATGTATTCCCTGTGTTTATTTGAGAAGATGATGGAGAGCCGAGAGGATTTGGACAGAGACGTTGATTGCTTCATATATAATCCGACTTTGTCACTTAGAGTTCAAGGTCTGGCCAACTGCTGAGGAAGCTCAAGAGCTGTTATTAGTCCCCAGAACCCTGACGGAGTCCACCAGTACCAGGCGCTCCTAAAGCTTGGCTGAGCAAATAACCCCCACTTCCGGTCCATGGTCACTTTGACCAAAGCTGCCTAGTGAGTCAGGATTTGGACTCCAAAGTGACATTTCAATAGGTGAGGCCCAGCCAGGCTTGGTGGCTCAAGTGGGGGCTGAATTAACTTTTTTTTTTTTTTGACAGAGTTTCTCTGTAGCTTTGAAGCCTGTCCTGGAACTAGCTCTTGTAGACCAAGAGCTCTTGTGGCCTCGAACTCACAGAGATCCGCCTGCCTCTGCCTCCTGAGTGCTGGGATTAAAAATGTGCGCCTCCACTGCCTGGCTTAAACCCTATCTTTGTATCTTTTTTCTTCCTTCCTTCCTTCCTTTCTTCCTTCCTTCCTTCCTTCATTTCTTTTTTCTTTCTTTCCTTCCCTCCTTCTCACTCTTTCTTTCTTTCAACAGGGTTTCTCTGTGTAGCCCTGGCTGTCCTCAGACTCACTCTGTAGATCAGGTTAGCCTCAAACTCACAGAGATTCACCTGCCTCTGCCTCCTGAGTGATGAGATGAGCCACCACCTGTAGGCAAACTATATCTTAAACTGACCCCTAAAAAAATCCCACAGATGTAAAACTCAAACCATAGCAGTCTCGCACAGAACTGGGTTCTAATTCTCCCAGGAAAGAAGAAGGAGAAGTGGGTCTCACATAGTACCCTTAGTATCCTTCAGTCTTGCTGCTGACGCTGTGCTCTGGGCCTTTTATTACTGTTGATGGAAGGGTGACCATATTTTTATAAGTGGAAAGTGCTTTTTAATTATAAAATACTGTCATGTACATTGCCTTATTAAATCCTAATGACAGTCTTGGAAGTTGACTTACTGTCCCCATTTCAGCTGAGAAAACTGAAGCTGGGCATAGTGGCATACAGCTGTCATTCCCAGTACCAGGAAGCTGAGGTGGGAAGATCTGGCCACCGTGGGTTACACTAAGTTTTCCAGGACAGCCTGGGATACAGATACAGGATAGAGAGAGCCTGTCTCAAAATGAATGAAGCCGGGGCTGGAGAGATGACTCAGGGTTAACCAAGAGGTCCTGAGTTCAATTCCCAGCACCCACATGGCAGCACACAACTGTCTGTACCTCCAGTTCCAGGAGATCTGACACCCTCACACAGACACATATGCAGGCAAAACACCAATGCACATAAAATAAAAATAAATAAATGATAAATTATTAAAAAGCAAAGCCAAGCTGGGTGTAGGATCGGGTTGTTCAAAGTCATACTTGGCTGCATGGTTTAAACTAGCTTCAGCTTTCAAGCGGGGCAGTGATGGCGCACACCTTTAATCCCGGCACTCCGGAGGCAGAGGCAGGCGGATCCCTGTGAGTTTGAGGCCAGCCTGGTCTACAGAGTGCGTTCCAGGGCAGCCAGGACTACACAGAGAAACCCTGTCTCAGAAAAAAAAAAAAGGAAAAAAAAAATCCTGTCTCAAAATGCAGAAACATAAGAGCCGAGTGACCCCTGGGAAGGCTCTGTGCTGGCATGGCCCCCATGTGCTTCTCTCTCCCCAGGACTGCAGGGTCCTCCTGTCTGTGGAGCCCACCGACCAAGGCTGCTACCCGCTGAATGACCACCTCTTCTGCAAGCCTTGCCACATCAAGCGGAGTGCTGCTGGGTGCTGCTGAGAAGCCCTGTGGCCGGCCCGTCCCTGACTTGGTTTCCCTGCTTAACTTCCCTGCATCTGTTCCTTTCGAGCCTCACGGCACCAGCACACTGCTGAGCCCACACTGTCTAGACACAAGGGCCCGAGACACAGGGTCTTGGTCTCCTGGTACACCGCACCCCCCAGACTTTCAACTCCTCCTCCACTGACCAGAAGGCCCCTCACTACAAGACTGGGACCCTGGCTGCTCTCTGGTGCTGGCCCTGACCTCTTTGTGGGGACGGATCTCAGGATGATGCCCTTGTCTCTGACCATGATGCTTAGCTCCCTAGCAGAAAGTGCTGAGATCAGCTTAGTGTGTTGAACCAAGGTGTTTGTTTGAAGTGTGCCTGCCCAGTTACTGTAGAAAGTGTATTTTGAAAATTAAGAAATTTATGCTGGGGCATCAATTTAAATTGATGCAAAGGCAGGAGGATCTCTGTGAGTTCGAGACCAGCCTGGTCTACCAGGTTAGTTTCAGGGCAGCCAAAGCTACACAACAAAACCCTGTCTCAAAAAAAGAAAAGGAAAAGAGTGTAGCTTGGTGGCTGCAGAGTACCTGCTGCTCTTGTGAAGGACCAGGGTTCACTTCCCAGCATCTACATGGATCCTCATAAGTGCTTGATATATAACTCCAATTTCAGAAGATACAGTGCCCTCTACTGGCCTCCTCAGGCACTTGCATGCATGTGCTGCATATACACTCGAGCGCACACACACAAGTCTTAATCAGGTGTAGTGGTGCATGCCTTTAATCCCAGTACTTGGGAAGCAAAGGCAGGCAATTTCTGTATTTGAAGGCAGCCAAGGCTACACAGAGAAATGCTGTATTTTTTTTTTAAGTAGATGGATTTGGCAGTTCCCATCTATGATCCTAGTGCTTGGGAGAACTACACGAAGCTTGAGCCCTGCCAGGTCTTCATAGAATTCCAGATCAGCCTTGGCTGCATTCAGAGACTGTGTCTCAAAGGAAAAAAAAAAGAAAGGAAAGAAAGAAAGAAAGAAAGAAAGAGAGAGAGAAAGAAAGAAAGAAAGAAAGAAGAAACATAAGTGTATAGGAACTTGACATATTGGCCACCCCTCCTCCCTGCCTGTGGCACACGTGTTGAAGTAGAGATGGGTCGAGGTGCAGGAAGGTGGCTGGTAGCCCACTAGCTTACCGACGCTCCTGGGTGCTTTAGTGAGTGGTCTGTGGACATGGATTAAGTGCCTTCGATTTGCTAGGTAACAGGGTGAGGCTGAGCCTCCTTCCTCCAGCCCTACAGCCTTCACTGGGGCTGAGGCCTGCACAGGCTCCACTCTCTTTCCAGGATGAGCCCAGGGAAGGGAACACCCCCTTTGTCTCCCATTTGTACCTCCCAGCACCCACTTCAGGCCCTGCAACCAGGCTACACATAACTCTGCCTCCATGAGGCCACACTAGAGCGTTCTTCCTTTCAGAGAAATTCATGTTAGGCCTGGCAAGATGATTCAGCTGATAAAGCTGTATGCCACCAAGCCTGAGTTCTATCCCTGGGACACTCATGGAAGGAGAGAACCATTTCCCATAGGTTGTCCTCTGGTTTACACACGCATGCCGCGGGATCACATTTGCACACGTGTATACACAAGTAATAGAAAATGTAAAATAGAAAAAGGAAAAGAAATCACTTTTGTGCTTTGTAACATCTAAGATGCACATAGAACAAAGTAAATATGATTTCCTTCCTTGCATCTTGTTTTTCTTTGGCGGGGGGTGTTGTTTTCCTTTTGGATTTCATTTGTGTGAAATAACATCTTATGTGTCCCGGGCTAGCCTTGAACTACCCATGTAGTCCAGGATTGCCTTGGCTTTGAATTCCCGTCTCCACCTATATTCTGGAATGATGTTTCTAGGGCTCGAACCCAAAGGTACATGAGAGACCCTGTCCTGTATATATAGCACAGTGGGTTGAAAACATAAATTATGTTTATGAGACCCTGGCTTCCATCCCCAGCACCCACACAAAAATATATCTGAATGAAAGCAGATACCTAGAAACAGAGAAGCTGATAAAGTGGTGACGTGCTCCGGGACTCCTTTGGACATGAATCCCCCTGCTTGTGGGTCCTGGGATGCTGACTGGCTGGTAGTTTGCAGCTTCAGACCCTGAGGCTCTATCAAGGCAGGTGTGGCGCACAGCCACTAGGGGGCAGCGTGGACCAATGAACTGGCAGTGGTAACCGGGCGCCGAGGTTCTTCAGTGTCTCAGCAGCTTCTCTACGCGTGGGGCGGGCAGAATGCTCCTCGGGCACATCCACTACCTGGGTTTGCAGAACGCTGGGGACAGAAAACATCGCTAAAGAGTGACGTAGCCACAAAACTTTTCCACCTGTCCCAGGATTGCGTTATCTCGGAAGAAGACCTACAGCTGAAGATTAAGCCCCTCACTGGCCGAAACTCTCACCTTCTAGGGAGGGAGCACCAGAAAACCCCAAAATGAGAACTAGGAACATAGACTCTGAACACAGCACGAGCAGGAGTTGCCTGGGAGCCTTGAACTTTCCCATAGTCCTGTTCCATCGTCCCTCTCACTGGAGCCCACACCTCTCACCAGAGGTCACGCCCAGATACTTGGAGAATAACTTCACTAAGGATATTCCTGCCCCTCCAGTAGGGCCTGCAGCTGCCTACACAGCCAGAATAACCATCGGAAGGGTTCAGCTAATGGCAAGTCTATGCCAGCCAGAAATCCCGGAAGCTGAGGCAGGAGGCTCTAAACTTCGAGGATATCCTTCCTTCCTTCCTTCCTTCCTTCCTTCCTTCCTTCCTTCCTTCCTTCCTTCCTTCCTTCCTTCCTTCC